GAGATATGACATCTGTGGTGAGGTGTTCAGAGAGATCAGAGGAAGAAAAAAGGGGCAAAGGCTCTGTAATTATGACAGCTAGTTATACATGGATAAGATGGACTGATATGCTAGGTTTATTGTAGAGAAGTGATGGCATAAGTCAGTAAGTTTAACAACCAGATATAAAAATCTAGCAAAGAAATACATCCCTGTTCTTAAGAAACAGCAACTCAGTTACCTAGAACAGAGCTGAGGATTGCTATTTACATGGTAACTTGAGTTTTGTTTATTTGGATTAGTGTGTCGTGCTTTTTTAAAATTAATGTAATATTCTGGGTTCTTATTACATTAATACTTTTAAGATCAGTTTTATTAGTGTGCTCCCCCTATCATTCTGCACGCAGCCATAAACCAGATACATTTGCCCAGGTAGCCAAGTTCATGGTTGTTTTGATTCACTGGAGTACTCAAAACAGCCATAGTGCATTGATAAAGCTGGTCCTAATGGTCTACTGGGAATTACAAAGAGGGAATCCCATTTAGGATCAATACTTTCTTGTAAGCATGAAAATAAATTTTGTAACATTTTAGGAACTGACTTGAAATATCAGCTCCGCTGAAAAAAATTCCTATTGGTATTAGTAGTGGGGAAAGGTAGTGATTTCACCCTTAAATTGCAAGCGCTCAAAATGAGAGGATTTTTTTGTTCCCCTCACTGTCAGAATGATAGTTGTAGATATTGGTCACATGCCAGGTTTAGACTGGGATTCACAGGCAAACATAACTGAAAAATATGGGAAAAGTCTATAAGCAATGAATTATACAAATTGTTCATTTTTCATTTTTCCTTCCTTATTTTAATTTGAACCAGAAAGAACAAAGGATTCTTTAAGATACAATTTGTATAATCATAAGGAACCCAAAGTGCTACTTTTTAATGAAAATTCTTAACCTGCATTTTCCATCGTCTCCACTAAAAGGAAATTGAATGTCTAGAATCTGGATGTTGTCCAGACACCTTTTTTTCTTTCTACACATGAAGTCATCTCATGTTCAACAAGCCACTAAAGAGTTTTTGTGGTCAGAATTGTAATAGCTTTAATTTGGGGGGGGGGGGGGGGGGGGGGGGGACGGGACTCTGGGATGTGTACAGGTTTTAGTATTGGAATTTATTTAGGTTTTTGTTCATACCTGCCTTTTTTCTGGAGAAGCTTGAAAGATTGTGTGCGCTATTGAAAGAGAGACAAAGGCCCTTTGGAACGTGTTACTAATTATTTATATCCCTCATCAAAGGCTTGTACTCATAGTGAAGACACCCCTCCAGTTTTGTCCTTTCACTGCCTTTTCCAACCTAAACTTGTGCCTTTCTTTTGGCCTTTTAGGTAAAATAGGTAGTTTCTTTAAATATCTTTAAAGCTACTGATTGCATAATGGATGCACCTTAGCACAAATGTATCATGGACATAAAAAACAATTCTGAAGCCCATGCAGCTTTGTTTATTTTGCAGTTGTCAAAGCCTGGGACTGTGCCATTATATGCTTTCTAATGCTATGTCAGTCACAAGGCTGTCCAATCATTGCTGTCACCAGCACACTGGTTGCTGTCATGGTTGGCATGCTGACAAGACATACAAAGAACACAGCCATCATTCAGCTCAGAAATGTAAAGAGCTCTAAATCTCCATCCATCCTTTTACCAAGCTTCCCCTGGCTGGAACTTGGCAGTTCTGGACAAGAACCAGGAGCTCAGCCAGGACTCAGGGAATGGGAGAGATGGAAGCCAAGAGAGGCAAAGCCAGCAGTGGACACACTGGCAGTATCAAGACCCTGTGTTATCTCCAAGGTATATGTATTCTGTTAAAATCACACTGAAATCCTGAGTGACTAGAACAGGTCCATAGCCTCCAATATAGTGGGTTTAAAAAAAACAGATCATCTAGGCAGCCCTTAACTAGCTCTACAGTTACTCCTCAAGGATGAAGCCCAGGGAGAAAAGACAGGGGACCTAGGAAGAGGAAGACCAAGCAAGAACTAAGGACTTGGAGAGAACAAATTAATGTTTTACTTCACCTCAAGTGTTTCAACTAAATGAATTCACCTTGCTTACCATCTGAATCTTGTCTTCTTCGTCCACTCTTTCTCCTACTTTCCTCTTCCTGAGCTCCCTTGTTGCTGGGAAATAGTACTTCACACTCTTGGCACCCTCTGCCCAGGCATCACTAGCTGTTTTATAAACAGTAACAGATTTAAGCAACACCTGCACCAAGCACGTTTTGACTAACCCCATTATGCTGATGGAGAAATAGAGGTGTAGAGAGCTGTGCTTTCTTGGCCAGAGCCGCACAGGAAGCTGGTGACACAGCTAGGAAAAGAGACTAAATCACTTGATTCCCTGTGGTTAACCACAAGGCTACATTTCAGCCCTTTTTGATACCGTCAGGAATTGTACTATACATTTAAAGCTAATGCTAATGTTAAAGAACAAGAGGCTTCCCCCTCTTCATCTGAATTTCCCTGTGTGTTACTTCTCTGCATCCATCTAATTTAGGCCTTCAATATCTGATATGTAGGTCACCTCTTATAGCCGTGTAGAGCTCTGTGAACCATAGTGGAGGTCCAACAGGACAGAACAGCACACTCAGGTGTTATTGATAGGTGGTATCAGTGCTTGTGATAAGATCCTTGGGTCAGGAGATATCTGGTGGTGTTCCTTGCCTGGTGTCAGGCATACTGTCACTATTATTTAGTGTCCAATAAATAATCATGATGATGGTCACACTTTATATTAAGGCTACTGTGGCAGTGAGACGCCACCACAGGCTCCCGAAGGAGAGAGGGTAATCACCGCGGGCCCCAAACCCTGGAAACAGACCCTCTACGGGGATAACTTACCTCCTGCCGAGCAGGCAGAGCAGGAGCTGAGACCGCGGCTACAGCCGCATGAGCCGACATTACGCCAGCTGTTTAATCAGCTGTTTCCTGTGCGGGGAACAGGTGGACCAATCGTGGTGGCTGTACCAGCCACTGCAGGAAAGCTTAAAAGCCCTGCCAGGACCAGGGCGGGAGAGGAGCCAGAGAGAGAGCGAGCTAGTAGGCAGCACGCCAGAGGTGCTGAGGCTCCTACGTGGGAGAGGAGCAGTACAGCCGGCGCAGCACTGGCAGGCAGAGCAGGGGAGACCTTTGAGCCCCCCTGCCAGAGGCAGAGTAGGGGAAGCACCTCGGCCCCCTGTAGGAGGCAGAACAGGGGAAGCCTTTCAGCTCCCTGCAGAAGGCAGACAGAAGCATTTAAGCTCCCTGTAGGAGGCAGAGCAGGGGAGGCAATTGAGTCCCCTGTAGGAGGCTGGGGGAAAGGAGGCAGCTCCACATCCCTCTCCTCCCCAGGAGAATACTTCTTTTGAAAGGAAAAAAAGGAAAAAAATCAAAGAGATAGAGGGAAGGCTGTGCATCAAGGCCGCAGGGACAGGAGCCAACTGAGCCCACGCAGATATGGGACCCTACCCGAAGCCAGCTGCGGGCAAGCCCGCAGGGCCAAAGCCATCATTGTATGGACACCGTTCCGGTTGGCGAGTGGACGGGGTGTAGGGGAGGCGGAGTCCCGTGGAACATCGCCGCTTGCCGGGAGGCCCTCTCAGGAATATCTCTATTGAACCCCTCTCTTGGGTTCAAAGTTGTGGCAGGCGAGTTGAGGGGCTACTCACCCGGCAGGCAGTGCAACACGTAAGGCCCACAGCAATCACAGCTACATTTGTAAATAGTTTACAGAATGATAATAAAATGATTGTCTTGTCATAGACTTATAGTTGGTTATCAACACATCAATGAAAAGTTTATAGCTGTTTTCAACCAGCAAATATAAGTAATGTATTCATCTGTTGGACTCAATGAGACTCTAAAACAACTTACAACTTTTATGTAAATATTATATTTTAAATAATATTATTGTTATCAGTTTAAGAACAATATAATGTATTAACCTTGTTAAACTATATAAATTTACTTGTAGTACAAAGTGTGGCATAACAGCAATAATATACTTTGTATTGCATTATAAGATGGTATAGTATAGTGGATATTAATAAATGTACTGTATGTGTGCTGTGTATGGTATCACACTATAAAGGCTACTATGTTAACAAATTCAAAATAAACCTTTTAAAGGAAATTAGTTATTTTTATCTAGTGCTTTCAGTTTTTGGTTCAACCCAATATTTGCTTATTTAGTCCTACTGAAGTTAAAATACTGACTGAGTGGTAAGTATGTGTTTAAACTTAAAAAGCCCTGAGTTTTTCTTTCTTTCTTTCTTATCTCAGTCTTCTGGACTATCAGTTGGACATCATTATTCACTGTATTTAATCACTTTTACACTAGGAAGTAGCATGGGGCTGGTGTGAGCCAAATATTTAGAAATTTGGGCTTTATTTGCAAAAAAGTGCACTGAGTTTTAATAAATATTGTACATCCTTTAGAACCCATTCTTGCAAAATGCCCACTTCCTACAATAGTCTACAACATTCTTAGTGAGCATATGGACTTCAGTAAGACTATGTACAAGAATGAGTCTGATGCCAGGTGGTCAGTGGTACAATGATGTGACCCGACACATCTTCAGCTTCAGATCCTGACTTCTTAACAAGAAGAGAAAAAGAATGTTGTTCCTTGAGTAAATCTAAATTTGTACATGTGTAGTGTGTGTGCGCACACACTCCATATACAGGACAGCAATGGAAATCTGACTATTCGTCTCATTTCCTCCCTTTATGTATCACACAAGACAGCTGTTCAGCAACGGAACAGAGGGCTGCCCTTCCCCAGGTGTGATCAAGCTCTAAAAATCTCATCATGTCTTACTGGCATGTCAATTCCAGATGTTTCAGACAGCCCCATAAATCAAACCATAGGCAACCTGACCTAGGAGCACATTGTTTGCAGACAATATCCTGAAAGCATTCAACAGGACTCCTATTCACACCCTTAGTTCTCTGATATGAGTTTATTTTCTTTCATTTCTTTTGCTCAGGTTATTTACCGAGCTCTGTCACCACCTTATTCAGCTGAAGATCCTTACAGCACTGAAGCTCAGGCACAGCTGAAGATCACCAACCTTCGAGTGCGGCTGCTTAAGCGACAGGCCTGCCCGTGTAAGGACAATGACCTGAAGGCAAAGCCTCAACGGTTCATGCACTATGCAATCTCTGATTTCATCGTGAAGGGCAGTTGCTTTTGTAATGGCCATGCTGATCACTGTGTACCTGTCTCTGGATTTAAACCTGTCAAGGCAGCAGGCGTCTTCCACATGGTATGTGTTATACTGTGTAACCTTTTCACTGTGATAGACAAGAAATACAGTAAAGTTGCTTGACTACTTTTTTCATAATGTAATTGATTGATGTATATATAACCCTAGTCAAAAGGAGCTCTGCAAAATCAAAACAAACAAAACCAAAGCGATGATTTAATGGGGGATGGTTTCATGGTCTAAACATCAGTTTTGACATACCTAATCTCTCTGGTGCCACAGTATAAAACCTGGGAGGATCAACGCAGACTCATCCTTCCAAGATAGATGAACTAATTACTCTGCAGTTATAGTGTGTCTCCTTAAAAACCTTAAAAGCTAAAGTCACTGACACATTTTTTCTGCCCTTAAAGACTTTGACCAAAAAAAAAGCAAAATACTACAGCTACAAAACAAACAAACAAAACCCAGTAATAAGCAGAGCTTCAACCCTGAAAGGAGAAAGAGCTGGAGACCTATAAACTTGACTAGGGATGTTGCTAATGCTATTGATCTTCCATAGAAGATGCTACAGTGATGGGTGGCAGTAGAAACAGAGAGAGAGCGAGAGAGAGAGAAGCAAAATGTTACTTCTGTATGAGCATTCAAGATTCTACACGTTCTGGTCAGGAACATAGTCCTGCAAGTCTGACTGCCCTCCTTGAATGTTACCTGAATGTTAAAGCTAACAAAATGCGGCTACTGATATTTTAAGTATCATAACACCAGATCTTACCTTAAAACAATATGTTAGTCACTAGGGGTTTTATCAATAACCCATTGAAATCAAATAGAATCTTTCCATTTGACTACAATGAACTTTGGATTGGGCCCTTGCTAAAGGTGTCCTCTCCGCACCATCACCAGTGCCTCAGGAAGTATTAGATACTCTGGCATAAAAGGAGTGGGTGAAGTTAGGTTGATTAATATTGCACTGAGGAGAGTTTCAAAGGGGAAAAAAATCAAAGATGTAAACCAAGTTCTATAGATAAGGAATTCTGGCATTGAGCCAGTCCCTTGGAAAAGTATAGAACATGTATTTGAGTTAAATTATAACCTCAAACATGAAAAAGACAGCATGTTTCCTCTCTAATATAAGTAGTGTTCAACATCTGAAAATGCACAAATCCAAAAGCATGCAACAGTTGGACTGATAAGTAGGGGTGCACCAACAGAGATTTTGGGGGCCGATACTGATAGCTGATATTTAAGGAGGCATATCAGCTGATCCTGATCCAATATCAGATATCTGATACAGCTGCCTCCAGGTGGTAGGTTCGGTGTGGTGGAAGGGGAGGAGGGACGTGGGGGGCAGATCAACACCCCCCACAGTGAAGGCAGGGGCAGGCGCTGCCCAGCCGGGGTGGCCTGCAGCTGCGGGGTAGAGCCAGAGCTGGGGGCGGGGGGTTGGGGGGGGGGGCGCCCCCTGCCACTGCAACCCGGGAGGGCAGGAGGGGGTGGGCATGTGCCCCCAGATTTGCATGGCATGGGGTAGAAGACCAGCGCAGGGTGGAGCCGGAGCCGGAGCCAGGCTGGGCTTAGATTCATAGATTGTAGAGTCAGAAGGGACCACAATGGATCATCATGTCCAACCCCCTACCCGTGGCAGGAAAGAGGACCGAGGTCAGATGACCCCAGCCAGGTGACTATCTAGCCTCTTCTTGAAGTCCTCCAAGCAAGGCCCCACCTCTCTTGGAAGCCCATTCCAGATCCTGGCCACCCTTGCTGTGAAAAATTTCTTCCTAATATCTAACCTAAATCCACTCTCAACTAGCTTACACCTGTTATTCCTAGTCACTCGCTGCGGCGCCCTAGTAAACAGCACGTCCCCTATTCCCCATTGACCTCGCCTAATAAATTTATAGGCTTGAAGTGGGCTCCAGCAGCACTGGGAGGAGGTTGCAGCCATCCCAGATTTTGCTGCAGCTCTGCTCCCAGCCCTGCGCTGCCGCCCGGTGCAGCCCTGGCTGAACACGCTGCCTCCACCCAAGTGCCAGGAAAAGCCAGAATTGCGCCAGGCAGTAGGCTGCAGCACGGGGCTGGGAACGGAGGTGCAGTGAAATTTGGGGTGGCTGCAGCCTCCTCCCATCGCCGCCAGAGCTTGCTACAAGCCCAGTCCCCAGTGAGAAGAGCCGTGAAGCACCAGCTCCGGCTCTGGCTCCACCCCGCAGCTACTGCCCTCCCCGCACCACACAGGTCAGGGGGGCACACGCCCCCCCCCGCCCACCTGGGGTGCAAGCAGTGGCGGGAGTTGCCCCCACCCCATGGGTCGCAGCTCCATCCCATGCCCCACCGCCCCGGCTGGGTAGCGCCTGCCCCGCCCCTGCTCCCTCCCTCACCACGAGAGGCATTGATATGCCCCCCCACTTCCTTCCCTCCTCACCCTCTGACTTACCAGCTGGAGGCAGCTCGCCATGCTGTGGGCTCTGCTCCATGCTGCATTGTGGCTATGCACAGCACAGGCATTTATCAGCCGAATTATCAGCCCCATAGGGCCGATATAGACAGTTTTCTTCATATCAGTACCAATCCGATATCAGACCGATGTATGCACCTCTACTGATAAGTCTGTTGCAGGTAGTGCTACCCTGTTTGTCACAGATGTTTCCTTATTGAAATTCTCTGAAATGAGCTGTTTATTTGGGACTCTTTAAGTATGATACAATTGTGTAGGAGTATGACAAGAGCATAGCTGAGAGTTATGAAACAAAGTGTAGCTGTACACACTTTCATTATGGGTTTAAAATTATGATTTAAAAGGTGCTTAATGTATGTGGTATTTTTATATGTATGTGATGTGTACAACTATAAAGATGCATATGCTACTTACCTGTATGTATGTTCAGGCATTGGAGAAAAAATAATAGTAAACTTATAATTCTTAGAATTGAAAAAGGAAAGTTAAATACCAAAAAAAAAGCCCAAAGCAAAAAGAAACAACCTCACTCTCCAGTCCCCTTCCCAAAAGACCCCAAATCCCAAATTGAAGGGGATATTAAATTTAAGTGTACAGGTGTCTGGAGAGTGAAAAATAACGTTCCTACAACAAAGTTAACTCAGGCAAAGTACACATATGTACTGTGTTATAAAGTCTATTTGCATTAGTCCTTACAAAAATGTTCTAGCCAGTATAATGTAGAGAAGACACAAAGATTGCAGTTGTAGCTGGCACCTAACCAGTCCTGGGATGAAGAGCACTAAAAAGGAAAAGCTTTCTATACACACCATTCTCTCCCCCACCACAAGTTCAGGGCAGCTGAGAATCAAGCTTTCTGGATTGGATCCTCTTCCCCCTGCACTGGCAAGCAGAAAGGGTGCTATTTGGATCTGATCCCCCATCCCAGAATCATGCCTCCTGTCATGCACATATGGCATTGCAAGAGGTATAATTGGGATCAGGGATCAGATCCCATATCACCTTTTAAATAAACACATGCCAGGGGCCAGAGAGAAAGACAGACAGAAGTCTGTGATTGTTTAGCCAGATGAATCTAAAAAAGTATCAGGAAAATAGAGTAAAATTCAGAGAGGGAGCACTTTAAAATGTTTCCTCTGAAAAAAATCAGTAAGTATCTTGGTAAATATTGAGAATGTACATGGCATGTTCAGTTGTCTTCTGAAGAGTTTATGGAGACGAAATACATTCATTAATGTTTGAAAGTGAGGTTTCAGTCCTGTTTAAAGTACAGATCTTGCTAATTCCATAGCTAAGTTTGGTACTAGCATCTGCATGGAGAAATAAAGTCCCAAAACCAAGAAAATACAAACGTTTTATTTTTCAACAGCCTTACAGAATGTAATACAAAAGATGCTAGTCACAGCCAGAATGTTCAAAAGGAGGGTCTAGAACTGAGGGACTTAATGCTATAGGGGTCAGATTCTGTTCTGCCTATTACATGCATAAATGGTAAAAAAAAAATGCTAATACTAAAGGTGGGTCGATCCTTCTCTTCCTTTCAGTTTTTTTGCGACGGTTCTGAGGCTCAGATGATGGTGTGTTACAACAGCAGGTGCATTATGATTTACAGGGACATGAATAGGGTAGAGAAGAAATATATTTAGCAGCCTGATTCTGCTTTGATTCCCGATCTGGTCCTGTAGTTCTAAAGAGTTTCTTATGAAAGAACTTTCCATCCTTAGTCTCAGCCTAAAGGTGAAATTTATAGGGAAGTATATATGTAACTAATTCAACCATAGATGAAGGAATAAAACATACTCTTATATATAAATATAATAAAAATGGCAAAATTTTAGAACTTGGCTAGTCCTCAATGGACAGTAGTTCTGAAAAATGATTTTTTGTGTTTTTCTGTAAATAACTGGTTTTAAAGTATTACAAAAATGTGCCTTTGTGCCCGTGCAGTAAATATGTTATATTTTCTACTTACATTTTTCCCTATTTAAAAGTATGCTGTATGATATTTACATACATATGTATATGTAGGTCACTACAAATGGTCATACACTGCTTGCTTGTACATGCTTGACATATCATATACCAGAGTGCTTTACCCAGCAGTTATGTCTGTTAGAAAATTCTTAATGGAATGATCCCATCAACAGTAGAACAATCCCATAGATTATATAGATAAAGATCAGAAAGAAACATTGCAGCCTTACTAAATCCAGGCTTTGTTTCAGCTCCTTGATAATTATGGCTTTGAAAGTTGGTCAGTGAAAGAACAGGATGCGATGCTGTCGGTGTATGTGTTCTGCAGGTCAGGGGAGTGAACAAAGGAACAGCAAATGTGTGTTTTGGTAGCTCAGGGTGAAGCTGACAAGTCTCAGAGAGATCTAGCAAAGCAAGCTGAACTATTTCATTCATGTCTCATTCCACAAGTGAAAGAGAAACTGATGAATGTGTGCTGAAGATAAAGGTGAAGGCTAATGTTTGTGTTAGTCTGGGATTTGATAGGGTGATTTATGGCCAAAATTTAGCCTGAAATATCAACTAAAATTCCTCCCTATTTCTGTGAAAACTTTCCTTTGTGGCTGGAGTTCCTCCTGTTGGAAACTCAGCA